TGGAATTAATGTAAAAATACAAATCAGGACTAATATATTTCTAAATTTTTGACAATATATTATCGCATCTATATTTAGATATCTATTTAGACAATCTATTATCTATTTAGACAATACTAGCAGTAGTGTAACAGTAAGAGATAGATCAAGTATCGACAACATCATAAAGACTGAAAAATAAAATTGACAATGATTATTGTTTAAGGTTGACGGTCACGCATGTCTTAATTAGTTTTTTTTTTTGTTTGTTTGTTTGTTTTTTACGAATTGGTCAAACCCAAACTCAAACAAAAACATTGTTTTCAATCGTTATGAGTCTACCGATTAAATAGAATTTTATTATAAACAATTATCTTGTAAATGGAATTTTTAAAGCATTCTGAATGTAAAAATAAAGAAAAGGTGTGCAAGACAATAAGAAACACTACCTGCCAAAAAAAGTGAAGTTTTGTTGAAATCGGTTGAAAAATGTAGGAAATCCGATCCCATATAAAAACGAACACACACACACACACACAAACAAACAACCTGGGTTTTATAATAAGTATAACCTCGTTATGAGTTATCCCCCTTTCATTCTGGCGACAGAATCGTGTTTTATCGTGTTTCCAAATTGATTTCATGCAAAAACCAATGTGTTTTTCCAATTGTTGGCGCTGTCAGAACCACCGCAAGGTAATTTTACTCAGTCCTGTGACGTTTTGTTGAAATCGGTTGAAAAATGTAAGAAATCCGATCCAATATATAAATGTACAGATACACACACACACACACAATCTGCGTTTTATAATAAGTAAGATTAAGACATTTATTTAGACAATATATGATCTATTTAGACAATATTTAGACATCTATTTAGACAATATATTACATATTTAGACAATATTTAAACATACATTTGTATAAAGTATCATCTATTTAAACAATATTTGGACAATATTTAGACATCTATTTAGACAATGTATTATCTATTTAGACAATATTAAAAGATTTAGAAATTATCTATTTAGACAATATTTAGACATCTATTTAGACAATGTATTATCTATTTAGGCAATATTTAGACACCTATTTAGACAATTTATTATCGATTTTGACAATATTTAGACAATATTTAGGCATCTATTTAGACAATATTTAAACATCGTTTTAGAGAATATATATTCTCTAAACAGATGTTTAAATCTCTATCTATAAAAGGCAGGATGTGTGTGTGTGTGTGTGTGTGTGTGTGTGTGTGTGTGTGTGTGTGTGTGTGTGTGTGTGTGTGTGTGTGTGTGTGTGTGTGTGTAATGCACGGCCACAATTTTCGACGGATTTGCACCCAAATTTACATGCACATGCTCCAAGTTAGCGGGAAGGCCAAGTCCGACTTTACATTTCCCAACTCCCATTGATATGATAATGGAAATAATCGATATTTTTATGCTTCTACGGCAGTTTTCATGTAGTTTGCGGCCATTTTGTACTGGCCAGAGTGAGAACCTATAGCTAGCTGCCACGAATAGGCAGGAAGATTCTATTGGCCAGCGTGAGAGCCAACAGCTGACTGACACGAATGTTAACTAGCATGCAAAAAAAATCGATAGCTGCATTCGTCACAAGTGGGAAATATTTAAATCTCATGGCATTTTACTCCAATTAGCTCATTCGCTTGCTTAAACTCAACGTTGATTCTGATTCCGCAGAACTGGGTTGGGTGTGAAAAAGTATTTGTTGTTAACATTCTTTTTTCATTCGGTTTTTCCAGTTACGAGTCCTTTTTTAAAGCTGATCGTTTTGTGTTCATTTTGTTTAGTTCTTTTTTCGTAACATATTTAATGTTTAGTATAGAGCTTAGAAAAAATTCGCAGAGTGAGATAGGCAAGAAGTAAGGCATGTAACAACATCAGCACGGTAAAGGGCACTCCTTTAAAGGCAAGGAAGAGCAAAAATATTTTAAGTGAAGTGATAGCGATTGCTGTATGAGTCGTACGATTTTTTAATCAAGCACGGGCAAAGCCGGGCCATGCTGCTAGTATTGTCTAAATCGACTATATTTAATATTAATATTTACTTGTTAGACAATATATCATCGCATCTATTTTTCTGGTTTTTAGTAAATGATTGATTCATACCAAGCAGAATATCTGTTTACCCCCCACCCCCCGGCTCATGTACCGAGAATTAACTTTCGTTCAATTTTTAAAAGTGTGTTACTCTCTGTTTGATAAGTGAGGCGGGTCATTTCTAATACCACATTTTATGTATATATATTTAAGCGCGGCGAGACTTACATTCCATCCCACCATTTTGTTAAGTACTTTGGCTTATGAAGAGATTACGTCCTACTGTAAATGTTCAGTACCTACATCATGGGTCAGTTTTAATGTCACCTTTTTATCTTTATATATCTCTATGATGACTACAGATTTTTATTCCAACCCAGGGAACAAGAGATTCCATGCCATCATTTCTATCTTGGACATTAGATTAGTTGATTAATGCGTTGATTTAGGAATCTAATGGCGTAGTAATTGTGGATTTTGTCTTTAGTCCAGTTATGTAAAAATTTAGTCCCATTGAAAGTTGGTTGAAAAAAATAATAGAGCCGTACAAGCGAGACGAGGTATTCACAGATTAGATATGAGTTAAAGCTACCAAGGTGGTTTAAATAATGTATTCATTTTAAAATTTCCTTAAGGCTAGTAGGATTGATTCACACCTGAGGAAGTCCAGACGGGATAACGGTTGAAACGTGATAATAAAAACAAAGAGGAAGAACTCAATCTGAATGTAAATAACTTAAATAAATGTTTTAACTCCCTTTTAAATTGTTAGTTTCTTTGTTTGGTCAGTTTCAATATTACCTGTTTTATCTTTATATTTGTACACAGAAGTTAATATTCCCGGGGTGGGGGGTAAACAGGCAGCAAAGTTGGAAGAAAAAGAAATGTTTATGAAATGAAAAATTTTTGCTTCTCTTAAAATTTACCCATATTGAACTGAAATGACTAAATGGCATTTTAGTCTGATTTTTAGAAAATAAAAGATCCGTGTAACACCCAAAATTTTTCTTGCAAAAACCAGTTTCTCAAAATAATAATTCCTCATATTTATAACTCAATAAATAAGTGTCTAATAGTCGTTAGTTTTTTTCCTCTCTATATTCCACAATGTTTTTTTTTATTGCAATTAATCTAAACCCAGATTCTGTGAGTGAAGTCTGATGAAATGAAAAACGAGATTAGATAAAACTGAGTTACATTAAACTGTTTATAAATTTCACTGACATTTTGAGTTCTACCTGACATTACCTCAAAGACTTAAAAGCAAGGAACGAATATAAAATGTGTCTTTAGATTTCTGTACTATAATAGTACTTTATTTGGAACTAAATTGGTCATTTGAGGAAAAAAGCCTCGAGCTACACTAAGGAGGCCTTCTAGTAACACAAATATGGCCAATTTATAAATTATATTTATCCAACTCTGTTTTCGTCGACTAACATTCACTATTATTGGCTTCATCATTATAAGAAACACTTAAAGGTATATTTCATGAGTCAATATTTTCTTTATATGTTTAGAAAATAACAGTTTTGCACAACACAAATCTTTCTTGGTTTAAAAATACAATTCTTCTAAGAATATAAAAACTGAAAGTAAAATCCTTTCAAATTATTTGATGTGTGCAAAAGTTTGCAGACAAAAACTCTAATACTTTCATTCATAAATTTGTACTTTTAGTCATTTTTATGAGAGCCAAAAGCAAATAAAATCATAAAAAATGTAATATATATTAGGCTGGAGAAAAGTCTGTAGTATTTTTTGAAGTGAATTTCAAAGTGAATATTTGGATATTTGTAGATAGATATATACAAGCACGTATGTGCCATTATGTTCAGCTAAGAAAATGAAAAAGTAAAATTAGATTTAATTTACAATATGGCTTAAATTTTTAAAGTATTGAATGCTAAATATCATCCCAGGTTTTTAGTGATGGTGTCTAAATGGTAGCTCAGTTTCAATATTTTCTTTTTATTTGCCTTTCTTTGTTAATTTTCCACCATTTTGTTTTGTAACAATGATGATCAACAGACGGCAAAGAAAGGAGAAATATTCATCAAATTAAACGTTTTTCTATCTTGAAATCTGTTCTTATTGAAGTGAAATGATGACATGTGATTTAATTTTGATTTGATAAATTTTATTAAAATGTTATTCCCCTAAGATTCTCATCTTCAAAATCAGAATAGTTTTCTTAAATTTATAAGTAATTTTCGTTTTGGGAGAACCAAGTGTTATGACTGATGAATCATCCTAACTACTAATTATAAGTGTTCTGATGGATGAAATTTTTCATGCAACAAAAACAGACTATCATTATTGTTTCGCCCGTGTGTTGTTTGATATATTGAAAAGTAATTGTCATCTTTGATAATGGCTTATGTAAGCCGAAAGCTTAGATTGAATTTAAACATGTATCAATATGGTGATTCCCTTTCGTCTTTCAGTGATAATGTTATTAAGCTTATCAGACAATATGAAAGGAAATTACTTAAAATAGACAACACTTGTCTATATTATTTAATGAAACATTCATTAATATATACATATATATATATATATATGTGTGTGTGTGTGTGTGTGTTTTTTCTTGTCTATTAGAGCGGCTAGCCAATCCCTATTGCAGACACTTGCTCAGGCACATTTTGTGTTTATTCAACACCCACCTGCAGTTTATACTGCAACTATGCTAAGCAGACCTTAGTTACAGTTTCTAGGAAAGTGCATGTTATCTAGCTTGATCAACAATTTCAACAAGGCCAGCACGCTCAAGCCCTCAGCCATGATGACTTGTGACTTCGTGCTAGCACAGCTATCAACGGCCTCCAAGGGTTCTGTCTACCCAATTTCACTCAAAAGGCTTGGGTCAACCCATGGTGTGGTTTTTATGCACTTTTTAAAGGTGCAACACGCTGGAATCAACACCTCCAGTCTGATAAATAAATGGAATACAATGATAGATAGATAGATAGATAGATAGATAGATAGATAGATAGATAGATAGATAGATAGATAGATAGATAGATAATGTTGAGTCATTATTAATTTCCCTTTTTAGTTACCAATTTTAATGACTGATGTATCATCCTAATAATCAATCATATGTGGCAGTTACATAAACTAACATCTATTAGATAGATAGATAGATAGATAGATAGATAGATAGATAGATAGATAGATAGATAGATAGATAGATAGAAAACACAAATAGATATGGGTACACTGAAATAGCTAGCAGGCTAGCCAGAAAGATAGATAGGTACAAATATAGATAGATAGATAGATAGATAGATAGATAGATAGATAGATAGATAGATAGATAGAAAACACAAATAGATATGGGTACACTGAAATAGCTAGCAGGCTAGCCAGAAAGATAGATAGGTACAAATACAGATAGATAGATAGATAGATAGATAGATAGATAGATAGATAGATAGATAGATAGATAGAAAAAAAATGGATAGATAGGGTACACTGAAATAGCTAGCGGGCTAATACAGAAAGATAGATAGGTACAAATACAGATAGATAGATAGATAGATAGATAGATAGATAGATAGATAGATAGATAGATAAGTTTGACTCATTATTAATTTCCCTTTTTAGTTACCAATTGTAATGACTGATGTATCATCCTAATAATCAAACATATGTGACAGTTACATAAACTAATATATATTAGATAGATAGATAGATAGATAGATAGATAGATAGATAGATGAGGTTAAGTTATAAGTAATTTCCGTTTTGGATAACTAATTGTAATTATGATTGTCTAATTCTAACTACTAATCAATAGCGGCAGTTTAATGGAGTACACTAACAGACATAGATAGATAGATAGATAGATAGATAGATTAATTTGGTTGAGTCTTAAATAATTACTGTTTTGGGGAACCAATTGCAATGACAAAACCTATCAACCTAACTATCCGTTCCTTTAATATATCATGGCAATTAATGAATCGTGGATTACCTACGATATTGTTCAATGCAAATTCCAGTGGATTAACAAGAACTGAGATCCATGAAAAATGGCTATTTTGTTGGTGTGGTGAGATAATTTATTCAGAGTTCCTAGAACGGAATGAAAGAATAAATGCACATTTATATGTCCAGCAGCTGCAACGTGGCCATGGGAGTTTGGTCAAAAGGCGTCCTGCACCCGTCAATAAAAAAAGACAAACTTGTTCTCCTCTTACAGTAAATATAATGAAAGATCTCGCTTGATCTGTTCTTTTTTATCCACCATATTTATTTGATCATAAAACCAACCGACTTTTATCTGTTTTTGATCTCTAAAAAATGCACTGATAGGGATAGTCTTTTCTTTTCAAAACCAGATTCAAGAGAACGTCGAAAATATTTCACATCAAAAACTGCGGAATTTTGCTGAAAAGGTTTGAAAGTTTTTAGCTGCTAAGTGACCACAATTCATTGTATATCGTGGTGAATATATAAATGATTATAGATAATTATATTTTATTTTTTGAAGAATGAGGCTGATAAAAAAATTTAAAAAATATTTCTTACTCAACCTTAGATTTTTTAGATTTATAACTTTTAGGTATTTTTAAATTAATAGCTAAAAGTTGTATTAGGTAGCAGCCACAATTTTTTTTGTTGCCATTAAATTAAACCCAGATTTTTTGAGTGAAATCTATTGAATAAAATGTTCACTTAATACTGTTTCTATGTTTTCGTTGACATTATAAGTTCTTGACATTATCTCAGATATATCAAACCAAAGATCCAAATTAAAACGTATCTTTAGATTTGTATGTTGTAGTATTAGTTTATATTGAATGCAAACTTGCCATTCGTAAAAAAAAACACGAGTTGGTTTGTTAGTAACATGTAAATACGGACATTAAATGATTTATAAATGCTCTTTTATCAAAGGCGCATGTGTTCCTTTATTGAATGTCAATATTATTTGTTTGAACGTCATGGGTGATACGTAAATATATTTTGCACGTCAGTGTCAACTAATAAATCTATCGAGTCATATAAAAAGTTAAACCAATTCTCACTGAATAATGAGAAGGTGGAATATTATTGCGTTTATCGACAGCAGGCGTCAATACAAGAGCTCAAGATGTCTAGGAGAGTTTTCAATGATGGCAAGCCGATTCGAAAGTCATTTTTATTAACTTATTTACTAACCAAATTTTGTGTTGGACTAAATATTTACACGTCATACCGTGTAAGCCTTTCTCCATAATATTTTACAAGTGAGATTTATCCTCATAAGGTGCCCAAGATTTGCGTCGTTTATAAATTATAAATATCGAATGAGATTAATATAATATGGTTCTTAGAATGAGGGAAAAATATCTTAGTCATCTCAAATCTCTATGGTCCATTATAGGCACTTGTAGGCTTCTGTTATCTCCCGAGATAATGGTAGTGCTCTGTTTGGTCAAAATTGTCCTTTGGTGACGACATTGAAATGGTCTCTCCAATACACAGGCCTGAGTTATTGTATATGGAAGCTGTATGCTGTCCAGAATACACAGCCCTTCTTGGCCCCAATTCTGGTTTTCGGTTTGGATTTATTTTCAAAGCCTTATGTTTATAATGAAATAATAATAAATTCTGTGGTACCTTGGGATCAGAACAACGGGAGGAGCAAGCGGAGATACACAAGTACAAAGGAACGGCAGGTCAAATCAGAAACATAAACTAAGAAGCCTAAGTTGATCCTTTTATGGTCAGCGCACTCGGGCCCTCTTTCCAAAAATCTTTCTGCCTCGCAGGACTTCTTGCAGATACCTGGCATCATGGGGAGAGCGTAAATGACAGCACTGCTTGATATAATTGAGATAATATACTTTGGGATCAAACATCTAAGAATTGGGTATTAAATATAATAATAACACATGAGAAACATTTAGAAAATTCTTGAAGAAATGGCATTAAAAGCAAACAAGCTTCATAAGATCCACCAAAATCATGTAAACAATGATACCAGTTCATTTTGTGTTGTGGCACATCAACACCTCTGTGGGTTATTTAATACTGAAATCTAAATATTTTGTTTTGTTCTGTTTTTTTGTTTTGTTTTATGGCATATCAAAACCTCAATGCGTCATTTAATGCCAAAAAAATTTTGAAATAGATTCATAGCGATAGTTTGGTAAAAAAAAAAAAGTGTGTATGTATACATATATATTTGAACCAATTTTCAATTACTCATATTTTTGAGTACAATCCAACTTCTTTTAGGAAATTTACAATCTTGGAAGGTTTTATTTTCGTAAAATTTTCGTATAATGTTGGTAAAAAATGTATTGCTGTTAATAATCTTCCACTAAGTACCTCTGGTATTAAAACCCATTTCTACACCCTCATAATGCACTTTACCCCAGCTCCGGGGTCAACTATTTGCCCATAGCTGGGAACCTAACAGGTGCTACCACCCCGGGTCAGGGTGGACCTGGGAACACCAGCAACTAAGAGGTGGTTCCACGCTACTTAAAACCTCCTGATCAGAGGCCTTGCTGCTGGACGTAGTTTATCGTCTTACCTTGGACCGAAATATTTTGTACGTAGTTTTATGCTTTCAACTACGGACATTACGTACATATGTACTGTTGATTTGGGGGGAGGGTCACTATTTGCCTATAGCTGGAACCCTAACGGGTGCTACCACCCCGACTAGTTATTTGGATATCATATGTGATGCGTAATCAGGAAAAGAGCTTGGAAAATTTAACACTCACATGATATAATGAAGAGAAGAAAGATAGGGGAGAACCATCGAGTGATCTACTTGGCGAGTTTGTGTGCATGGATAGCAGAGCGGGACCAGAATAAAGGGTTAAACGTTACTTAGAACTACGATGGATAGGAAGTTGCGGAGAGTCATGATCACTAACGCCCTGAAGACACACGTCTCATGAAAGAAGTTATCGTATGACCGAGTGAATAATATTCCTACAATGAATGTCTTCTTACATTTAAAGGAATTGCATATTTTCATGCTCTGAAATTTATAATCCCGTCGAGTATGTTACGCGTTTCTTTCCTGTGTCCCTCTTTCCCTCAATCTGTCCTGTGAGTATCAGATTTTCCAAGCACCCTTTCCATATTACGTGCACCAGAAATTACAATTGCGTCTTCCAGATGTTAAGTATGAGTTTCCATTTTGTTTCCATTTTCACTAAAAGCTCGTCGTTGCTCACATGTTTGGTCCATGGTATCCTCATCATCTTTCTGTAGAAACTCATTCACGTGTGATACTATTTGTTTTTACCGCGGTAAAACATAGGAAACTTTTCTTGATAGAAGAAGCGATATACTGAAAGAGTTTGAAACAAGACGGGTTAATATCTAAAATTCGTGATTGACAATTTAATTCACATATAGACGACACCTGGAGTTGGTATAACGAGGGTTTAAACAATAGAAAATCCCTCACGCTTACAGGGAAATGGTGATTGACATATGTTCTAAGCAGCTGAAAATGCATGCTGTAAAGCGAAAACTTCATTTTCGTAATTTAGAATTGATTTTTCCTGGTCGAAAGTTGAGTTGAAATACCAGGAGAGGAGGATAAGACACCCACGTTCACAGAGGAGATTTAGTGAGAGGTAATAAAATGAGAGAGTGGTAGATTAGAATTCCACAGAATTAAGATATAAGCTGACAACAAAGGAAATTTACCAAAATCTCCCTATGCTCCGTGTCTCGCGTCAGCTTGAGCGAATGTCCATAAATACGAATGCGCGAAGCGAATTCGTCAGACAGAGACAGGAGAGAAACGGCAGAGAGTTAGTTCCAGCCACCGGTGGTGGTACACCCCACGTGATTGCCTGCCGAAGAGAACACCCGATTTCAGCCCTGTGCCTAACTTTACCAAACCAGCAACCCAAACTTTATCAAGTCAACAATGAAATATCGTTTCCGGTTTAGACGCAATTTGAGCTGATAATTAATCGATTCAAAAAACAGTATTTAGTTTCACTATTTACATTATTCGGACTATTGTCCTCATCTTTGTCGCCATATTTAGTACAACGTTTCGGCCGTTGTACGCTCCGGCCTTCTTCAGGTGGTTGGAATGTCGAACTGAACCCTTTATTTCGCTCACTGGGGTAGACTGTTCTAGTTCCACGTGTTATGTTTTTAATGGATGTCAGTTATCAGTTATCTCCTGTTAATTCCCCTCTCCAAGTTCTCCGCCGCCTTAACCGGGTATTGAACTCACACACTTTGTCCGAATAATATAAATAGTGTACCACGCATTCTGTCTAATTTTAATTCCTATTTAGTCCTTTCTTCTCGCTCTCTTTCGCTACCTTTGATCGGAGCTTTTGTATTCTTTCCTTGTCTGCTATCAACACTAGTTCATCTGCATATCCTATTTTTATTAAGTTTGTAGCCGCCAATAATTAACCCTGGTAGGACTTCCAATTCTCTCAGAATTACCTCGCTGTATAGGTTGAATAAATCCGATGAGAAGACACAACTCTTTTTTACCCTCCCATCTATTTTTTTCTATATCATTATATTTATCACTATATAGGTGACTTTATGCATGTGTCGGTATGTATTAGTAAGTATATATTTATGTTGTCCTTGACAAGTAGAAGAATTTAGACAACGAATACTTTAGTATCAAAGACTGTACGCATTTAAATCATAATCTAAGTAAAAAAAAATAAAAGCATCGTTAGATGACTGCTAAATTTATTTCTATCTAATATCTACACGTTTCATAAAAATTTAATTAATCACTCATCACTCTTATCTTTCTTCTAAGTGACTTTCTCACTTTGAAAGTCAACGATGTCTGTTTTTCTTTACTTTTCGACGTCATTGACTCCGAATTATATTTGATTTGTCACCAAAATTGTTTCAATATTGAAACCGATGTCAAGCTTTTATTTTTGAGAATCTCAGCTTTTTTTTTGTCGTCCTTTTTGATGTCTTGCTTGTTTAGTCTTCATTTATATATATCCGAGTACAATCTTTCTGTTAGTGTTATCTGTTATGTTGAAAGTGTCACTGCAAATTATATCAAAGTCAGCGGCCGTCTGTTGTAGTTTGATAACTGAATACTACATATCTCATCCCATATGTGCCGCAGATGAAGATCATGAAATCAATTGTGTGGGTCACTTACTGGTAGGTTGAGATCCACCTTAAACAAATTCACGCTACCTTGATTTTCTTTGACCTTATCTCGATTCGAAAGTTGAGGTCCCCCTTAAACAAATTCGCACCATCAGTTTTTCTTCTCAACTCTGAGTTTCTTTCACCTTCAACCAACTTTTGCAAAGCCAACCTGTGACAAGGAATGGATGACGTGAGCAGATCTTGGTGGAACTGGAAGCTTCTAATCCTGAATCTGCAGATTGGCGGCGGATTTAGGCATCAACGCCATCATCATAAAGAAAGCAATCAGCAAAGAAAAATTCGAATTCTTGTATACGAGAAAAATCAGATGACGACGACGATGCCTGTTCGAAAATCTTATATTCACATTACTGTCTTTGAAAATGCCTTTAAAATTCAAAATATCAAATTAAATTTTCATTGGTCGAAATGTATTTAGTGATCTTTATTTTATATCTCTTCGAAAGTTGAGTTCCATTATTTGTTAGGTTGGAGGCCCCATTCGAAATTATAAAAGATTCAGCGATAAACCATTGCCGTTTAATAACTGGATTCTGCATGCCTCATTCCACATGTGCATGCACAGGAAGGTCATAAAATTGAAATTTCTGAACATGCGCGTTGGCGGTGAATTTAGCCATCAACGCCATCATTATAAAGGAAGCCATCAGCAAAGTAGAAATCCAATTCTTTGATACGAGATAAAGCCACTGTCGACGATGAGGACGATGTCTTTTCGAAGATGATTAATTAACATTATTGTCTTTCAAAATGTGTTTAAAATTCAAAATTAAATTTTTCATTGGTCGAAGTGTATTTAGTTATCTTTATTTTATATCTCTTCTAAAGTTGAGCTCCTTTGAAGGATTCACTCGAAATTTATAACAGAGTCAGTGGTAAACCAATGCATTTTCATAACTGGATTCTTCATGCCTCATTCCATATTTGCATTCGGAGGAAGGTCATAAAATTAAGTGTGAGGGCCATTTTCTGGTAAGTTAAGTTCCGCCTAAAAGAAACTCACGCCATCGCATTTTCTTCTACTCTGATTTTCCTCCTCCAAAATAGGGAATGGATGACAGGCGCATGTTTTGGTGTA